AATAGACTCAAAAAATTGTAACAGCAGCTGGTCAGGGGGCCCAATCTAATTATTTGTCAGGGGGCCCATGATTTCTGGCAGCGCCCCTGCTCCTGGTGCATTAAATTCATTTGTAGAAACATAAACTAGAAGATCGTTAGAACTATGTAGAAACTCGTGTGGTCACCTTCTTCATATTTAATAAATCTTATTGCTCCTGCGTGTAAAAATGAAAAAACTTAAAACATTTTTTCACATGACCAAATCTCGGCTAAAGGAAAACCAAAGATGTGATCATTCTTAGCCCTGATCAGAAAGTCTGTGTATCGGCGAGTTAGTATTATATTTATAATATTTAATGCATTAGTAAACCTTATTACTGGTTCTGACACGGAGGTGGAAGCAAAACAACGCTGAGCATCAAGCTAGCCCTGCTAAAGATTCGCCCAGTCAGGGTCAGAGTTCACGATTAATAGAGTAATAAAGGCTGGACAGACAGAAGCTTCATGACCAGAGAGGAGGCGATGCTCTCTGACCTGCAGGGAACCAGACCGCCTCCAAACACTTGGGCTCTTTAAAGGAGCAGTCTGACATTTAGAGAAGCATTCAGAGTGAAGCGGCTCTGCAGGCGGAGCTGCAGACACCGGGCTGCCAGGATCAACAGTGAGTCAGAGCCGACAGACATCAGCAGAGGCCTGCTGCCCACCTGTCTGCATGGAGAAATACAAAACGCGTCCAAAAAACCATAAGACGTCCAAAATGCATCCAAAACAAAACTCCAGTTATGCTCCAGTTTTGTTTCAATATGGCCGCTCCTCTCATGTGAGATGTGATGGAAACATTTATTCCAGAAATGTTCTGGACTCAATGTGACAGAAGGCGCCTGCAGCTCAAAACTGAACAAATTAAATCAGTGCCTATGGAAAGTAAAGATTTAAAGGGGCAGTACAATGTTTCCAGGCACATGGTGCCATTTTATAGCAGAATCCATTAACCATGTTACCTTCAGTCGATATAAAAATGCTACAGATGTATAAAAAATAACTTCCTGATTTAATGCCTTGAAATTGGGCCTCTGTCTCTTTAAAAGCTCCTGGTCCTTCTGAAGCACCGCCTCCAGGAAATCATCCCAACATGGCTCCTCTATTAACCCTTTAACGTTTTCACCTCTGAGGAGGAGCTGCGCCTCGAAGGCGGGGCTAAGCCCACCCTGCAGTTCTGCAGCTGGATGGTTGCCATGGAGATTAAAGGAAAATGCACACAAGAATTGAACCAACTCCAGGTTTGTTTTGATTGAAGGAATAAGATTAAAACCTGAAGTAAAGCTCCAAAAAGTTGATTTTTCATCATTTTTGAAATTCAGATTTCTTCAGTAGGAGTTCCTGCGAGTCTGACGGTGAACCCAGACACCAGTTGGAACGCATAAAAACAGTCAGCTAACGGCGGTGAGCCCACGGTTCCCTCTGCCCCGCCCAGTTCTCCCAGTTCTCCCAGTTCTCCTACCCCTGTTTGTCTCCGTCCACCAGGATCCGGACCAGGATTCCCGTCACGGCCACCAGGATCGGGTAGTGGTCCACGCTCTCCAGACCTGCAGCACACAGAATTCGTCAGTCCTGACGTGACATTTGACCTCTGACCTTCCACAGAGTTCTGCTCAGACTTGGTTCTGATCCGTTCATATCAGGAAGTCTGGTTCCTCCTCAGAACCTCCACCATAGTGTTACCATGGAAACCATTGTTAATCTGGGATGGGTCGGGTCCGGTCAGATCAGGTCGGTTCTGTTCGGTCCAGTTGGACGGGGCGGGGCTTACCTGGCAGTCGCAGGTTGACGACCCGATCGAACAGGTTCTTCTCGGCTGTGACTCGGTTCAGAACCTGGTTCAGCAGCTGCAGACAGAACAGGTGAAACAACCGGACTGGACTGGACCGGACCGGACTGGGTCGGGTCTCACCTGGGCGAGCCGCCTCAGCAGCAGCTCCGCCGACGGCCGGGTCCAGTCCAGGAAGATCTCCGGAACCAGAGTCACGGTCATCTCCAGAACCCTGAGCAGGCTGACGGACAGATCGAAGCAGGTCGCGCACACCTGGGCCCAGATCCACAGCACAGGTCACAACCAGAACCAGAACCAGAACCAGCAGGATGGTGGGCTCACCTTCAACTGACGGGTGTCCACAAAGTTCCTCTCTGGGCGCTCCGCGGCCTGTTGGATCTGGACCGGAACCAAACAGAACCAATGAAAACCGAGAGGAGTGTTCAGAACCGGGCCAGTGGTTCTGGATCTGCAGAACCCGTCTCGGACTCCAGGTCCACATTATTCATCTACTGCTCCAGAACCAACACCGGCCCGTCTGGATCAGTCAGACTGGAAGGAGAACTTCAAGTTGTGCCACTAATTCTCTGTTGAAGACTTTGACTAGGCCTTTCAAGCACATGAATCTGCTTTGATCTAAATTTTTGCCTAAAACAGACACATTTAAACTCAAGGTACTTCAGACTTTAATAAATTGAAAATACAAAAATTAGTTTTGACTTTTTGTTGTTTTTGTTTTACATCAACAATAATTAAATCATTGAAACATAAAAACTCCTTCGAACTGCTGAATTATTAAAACGAAACAAAGAAAACTTCCATATTTTTGGGGTCATCAGTTGTTTTCTATTTTGTTGGATACATATTTACGATTTGTAACTTATGGTCAAGGGCCAAACAAAATTATTTCCCAGGCCACCAGTGGCCCCCCAGCCTCATTTTGGACACCCCTGATCTAAACCACCCTGTCGGAGCTCTGGTTGTATTTTTGAGTTGCTGTCTGTCTGGAAACTGAACCTGGAGCCTCTAAACCTCATTTAAAGGGCCAGTATTGTGTTTCCAACCACATGTAGCCATTTTATAGACCAATCAGTAACTCTGTAACCTTCAGTCGTTATAAAAATGCTGTGTATATCAAACATGACGTACAAGAAATATTACTTTGTAATTTAAAGGCTTGAAAGGCTCTGTCTCTTTAAAACTGCTCTTCCTGAAGCTCCACCTCCAGGAAGTCGTCCCAACATGGCTCCTCTATTAACCCTTTAATGTTTTTACCATCACTGCTCTGAGCAGCAGCTCCTATAACGAGCTCAACAGTTCCACCAGCTGTTTGCTAATTGCTGCTGGCTAGTCTGAAGGAGCTGCACCTCGAAGGCGGGGCTAGGTCCACCCAGGCGCTTTGCACCCAGGCCAATCTCCATGGCAATCTCCATGGTTGCCATGGAGATTAAAGGATTCCTCAAACATGAAAGAATCAAAGCAACACTGCAGGTTTGTTTCTGATCAGAGAAAAACGTTAAAACACAATGGGAAGATAAAAATTCGCCCCTTTAAAAGCTAAATATCGTGTTTTCATTGAAACAAATATTTAGCTTGTTTTAATGTTCTGAAACACTCAAATGAGACAAAAAGGCAAAAACAGGAAACCAGGAAGAATCAAGCAGCCTGGCCTCAGGTCGTGGAGAACCTCAGGGCTGGTTCCTGGACCCGCTTCTCCTCTAACTGTGAGCATAGAGAGACCAGAACCTCTGATCCTATGCAGTTTCTGCTGAACCCTGTGCTCTGTTGGGGCCCGGTTCTGGTTCTGGTCGGTCTCACCTCCTGGATCATGCCGATGAACTCGGAGAAGGCCCAGTTGAGTTGGTTCAGGACGCTGTTGAGGAAGGAGGCGGCCATGTCTTTGTCCGTGCTCAGCAGCTCCGCCATGTGTCTCTGCAGCAGCAACGATGGACACGGCTCTGGACCAGAACCGGGACAGGAGACGCAGTCAGAGCGGTCCCTGTTCTACTGGACCTGGAACGAGCTGCGATCGCTCCTGAGGAAGAACTCCCTCCTCATCATCGAGAAGCAGCAGACAGTTGATCTGCAATAAACCTGCAGGTTCTGGTTCTGGTCGGTCTGGATCTTCATAAGACTACAGCCGTCACAACAAAACGTTTTTCTGGACAAAATTATTGCAATAAACGATAATGTTGTTGTTTTGAGACCATTTCCAAGTCCCGTATTTTCCGCATTATAAGGCGCATAGAATAGACGCCACAGTAGAGGCTGGAGTTGCGTTATGCATCCACTAGATGGAGCTGCACTAAAGACAATGTCAACAAAACAGTCCGACTCCGGTCGGCGAGGAGAGCCTTCCTGGGCCGGGGCCGGACGATGGTCACCCTTCTCCGTTCGCCCACAGCATGTTGGTGGAGAACCTGGTGCTAAATGACCTGCAGACGACCTGATTCTAGACGGTCGGTAGGTAGATGGGTCAGTCAAACTTTATAACAAACCAGCGTTCTGACAACTATCCCAGCATGCACCATGCGCTTCTTCTTCTACAGGCGAAAACGAAGTCGGCGGCTGCTTACCGTAGTTGCTAAACCTGTTGTGACTCAATATTGGTCCATATATAAGGACCGGATTATAAGGCGCACTGTCGGCTTTTGAAGAAATTGAAGGTTTTTAGGTGAGACTTATAGTGCGGAAAATACGGTAATATAAAGATAAAATGTGATAATAATGGAAGTTCATCTGAAAGATCAATAAACTTTAATTTAGCAAAGAGTTAAAACTGGAAGTTATTTTAAAAATCCAAAATATTATTTCTGTAACCTTTTAACTGGAACAGTCATTATGAATTCAGTCCAGCGAAATAAAACTTCAGAGCCACAAATCTTACATGATATTTTGATCTTTTGACACGTCAACAAAAGAAGATTTGTTCTCCTGTTCAAAGATCCGTCATTTTAATGACCAGACCTCCAGGGCTACCATCCTGCAACGTTTACATTCACCTCTGCTCCAAAATGTCTGAATCCCTCACCAGCATTCATTCCTCTCTGCAATAGGCTGGAAACGAGCAGTTTATTTGATCCAGGTGTGTTTGAGCAGAGACGCATCTAAAAGTTGCAGGATGGTGGCCCCAACCCCTGCTCTAAAGTTTAATTATATAAACTTAATGTCTGTGAGCTCTTGACATCAAAGTCAAAATTTTTGTTTGGGCACAAAAACAATTTTGCTCTAAAAAAGTAGAAAGTTTCCAATCTAATGAGAAACAAACAAAAAAACAGGAAAAATGTTCAAACTGCCATGAATTATTACATTTAAAGACATTAAATGGTTCTTCATTACGTTTTGGCTCAAGCTGAGACGCCTGATCCAAACAAACGGATTATGATTCGTTGCAAATAATATCAATTATCAGAAAGGAAATAATTGGGATCGTTTTAATTTATCATGCGATTAATTGCTTAATTGTGACGGGCTAAACTCCAGATCCGATCAGAACCATCAGAACTCTCCTTGTCTTTCTGCTAAGGCTCTCCGGGTCGTCTTCATCCTCTGTCTGAACCGACACCGTGAAGAGGAACCTGCTGCAGATGATGCAGGGCATGCACGAAACATGGTGGACAGAACACACACACACACTCTGACTCACTCACACACACACACACACACTCACTCACAGACACACACACACACACACACTCACACAGACAGACACACACACACACACTCTCACTCACAGACACACACACACACACACTCACACACACACACACACACACACACACACACACACACACACACACACACACACACCACACCAACACAAGAGAACTTACTCTGGAAACTAGCAATGGACAGATCTCCTGACAGGCATGCAGAGAAGCAAACAGATGAAGATCAGAGAGCATGCAGCAAAACAAGAGACGATTCATTCAAACTGAACAGAACCGGGTCAAAACTGAACAGAACCGAACATGGCTGAAGGTTTGAAGATCCTGGAGAGTCTGCGATGCTGTGGTCAGTGTTTACCGTATTTCTTATGGCATCTTGATTTGTTGTCTTATTCCAGTTGATGTTTAAAAAGGTGAATCAGTAAATATAAATGTGAAAATATGATTTTTTATTGTGATACAAATGACATTTATGTGATTGGTGTCCTAAAGTAGCATATTACAAAAAAAATTATTCACATTGATTATAGAAAAAATCGTGAACTGGTTTAGTAATCGATTGATCAAATACAGATTCTGCAAAATGTCCTTTAGAAGGATTTTATTATCCTCTACGACCAATAATCAACTTTAACTACAGGAAGGATTTTACTGACTTAGGAAAGAGAGTGTTTACTTTTTCTTTAAAAAAGGAATTAAATTATTTGTTTATTTGCATTTTTATGGCCTTAAGCAGTTAAATAAAAAACCTGCAGATTGTGCCAATTTAATTTTCAGATTAATCAGAATGATCGATTAGTTATTAGAAATGAGAATGCTTCTGTTGAGTCATCAGTCATGAAATCACAAATAAAAAAGGTGATAAAGTTCTTATTGTCACTTTATCGTTATAACAACAGACCCATGAAGTTTTGTGAAGGTTCTGTTGGACGAGCAGAACCAGAACCAGAACCCACAGCTTTATTTAACATGTGAGAACAAAAGTTCTGCTAGAGGAAGCTGATGTTTGTGTTTCTGTCTCCAGAAATAAACTCCAACACACACACAGCAGTAAAAATAACCCTGCTGAGACGACCGGATTTATTTCTGGAACCTGAAACTGGATCGGATTCAGCGAAGCGTCAAACGGTCGGGATGGAGCGACTGAGCTGGCTATCTGACAAAACTTCCTGTCATCATTAATTCACAGCTGCTCCTGCATCTCAGAGGCAGATTCAGACAAACGGCTCTGATGCTAAAGCAGCATCGGTCCGGTTTGGCCCGGTTCCTGCCCACAGACCCGGTTCTGCTCCACTCAGACCAGCAGAGAGCAGAACAGAGACACACTGACACCAGGACCTACTCTGCAGGCTGGGCAGGTTGGCGTCCTCAGGTTTGGTCTTCAGCAGGTGGGGCAGGCGGGTGTACCTGTAGCCGAACCCGCAGCCCTGACACACAGGAGGAAGAGCGGCTTTAGAGAGGAAGAGGAGCAGCACAAATTCACACAGCATCAACACATTCACACAGATCTGCTGCAAAAATGCTCAAACACTGAGCTGACGTGATGCCACCTCCCACCTGCAGGTGGCAGTATTTCCTCCTTCTACTCTGCTGCCTGACTTCAGTTCCTGTTCGTGATTCAAAGATCATTTTGGTGATCGATTAATCAGATAATTAACTGACTAGTTGAATAAATAAATTGACATTCTGCAGATTTTTTTATTTAATCACCTCAGCATTTTTATACAAATATTATAAATATACTAA